TCATCTGCATGCCACAGAGTACTCTATTCAGTCTAATATCAGTTGATACAGTCTTAGAAACAAAGAAGCAAAATCTTACATATGCAAATGGTACTACATTAGTGTACTTCAAACAGCAACAGTTTTAACTGAACAGTTATTTGTTTATATACTAGGTTGGTTTCCCACACGTTGACGGTAAAAATCAATTCCAATATATAAACAAAAATTCAATGTGGTTAAATTTCTGCACATTTTCGCAATTGCGGTCGCAAACTCTCATCATTCATTCGACTCATTTCGCGGTTGCAAGATCCCCAAGGAAAGCTTCTGCCAATGTTTGCAGTGAAGCTGTCGAAGTCACCCTGAAGATCTTTGTACACCGGAAAAACTAAGATTTGACTTAAAAAATTCGAAAAATTAAATTACTTTCAACAATACAGATTTTTGAAAAAATAAGCGTTGTAATCAAGGAAGGAAGGTTTTGCATCTGAAAACATGAAATAAGAACTTATTTACAGCATTAGGGGAAAGTCCCGTAACGCCGGACGGCACCTAAAGCCGGACACTCTATTTAACATGTATTATTTAAGCAAGTATAAATCCTTTTATTTCGAAATACCGAGACTCACCTGTGACGCACACGGTCACGGCGGGAGCAACCCTTTGTTGTTATAGGCGCAAAAACACGGCATCACCTAAATATCAATGTAATTCTAGTGTATTTATGCATTTATATTTTAGTGGCATTCAAAAATAAAAGTAGTACTTGATTGTTATCCGTAAAATGGTAGAATATTATTAGATATTTTAAACAATTTTAGTAGATACCATCAAATGAACGAAATTGTCTGTCCCTTAGCACCGGACACTAAGTCGTCCCTTAGCGCCGGAAGTAAACATATTGATATTTCTTGTGAGAATTGATGTAATTTATTCTGATTATATAATTTTGTTCTGAAAGAGTGCTAACGGTCATTACATACCCCCATTTTTCGTATTTTCTAGTCAAAGAATGGAAATATTATAATGAATGCTCCAGCTGAGAGCATCGGTGTAGCCCAGCCAAAAGGGTGGATAATTAGTGATTTTTTTTTAATATCTAAAAATATTCGTCAAACACAAATGTGCAGACATTCCAGAGAATCAATTCTTATTCAACTAATTAGGCTATAACAGACCTTTAAAAACTGATTGGAAAATGGTTTAGTTCAGTACATAATTTGTATCCATTAGTAGGATGTTAACGCTTCAAGGTAATGAACCGGAATAGTAAATTATAATATTAATATAATATTAAATTAATTAACCGGAATAGCTTAGGGGACGTCGTTTAATCACGTGAGATTTTTAGGGAAAAAATTACAAAATATCACGTGGGGGATTAATGGACGCGCCCTTAGCACCTAGGGTTGTAAAATTATTTTATTGGTATTAGGTAGTAGACGGTTGATTGACTGGTGAAACAGGCTTGATCAAAAATATAGTTAAAAATAAATAAATTGCACACGTTTCCAAAGAGTAAATAAAATTTTGATTTAAATTGTACATAAAACAAACTGCTAGTGAAAAGAACAAATCAAATAATTATATTGATAGTTGAATTCGCGAAGTATGCTTCACATTAAAATTTTCTACCTAAAACTTAACTCATAAAACCCTTCTGATGAATACACCTCGATTGATTACTAGAATTTGCGTATACAAATCGTGTTTCTAGTGTGAAAAGAGTCCTTTACCCAGCGTTTGCATACAATGCGCGGTACTTGCAATACAAACATCGTTTCGAGATAAAGCCCGGGCTAACAAGTGAGCCACCGCCGAGGCAACCGCCGAGACAACCGCCTCGAAGAGCCGGTAGCGTGAGAAATTCATTCTGTTTTATCGAGGCCCTCTGTGTGAAACGGCTCGGGAATTATACAAGACGTTACCATCGCGGTATAATATGTGTATACAAGCACTGTTAACCACAGGTTCTATAATACTAATTGATATGTAGGCATTGCATTAAAATATTGAAAGGAAATAATATTTATTAATAATAATATTGATTCGATAATGAAGGTACCGTTAAGGTTAACTCTACAAAAACAATGATCATAGTCGAAAAAAGTAATATAACTGTTATAAACGAAATGAAGTTTGCGGAGGTTGTATTTTAATATCTTACATATTAAGCACATAATTTAATTATTATGTATGTATTTCTAACTTTCGTAATTACATTCAGGATTTATTCACATAAGGTTGATGTAAAATTAATGTTAAATCAAATTCTTTAACTTTGTAACTTTATAGTATACCACTTCATAACTACATTTAATCTATATGAATTACAAATACTGACTGGCAATAATAAAAAAAATATTTTTTAAATTTTTGAATTAAATATGAATATGCAATAACTTTTATTCGAACACATTTATGTATTCTGTCTACTAAATGTACTAAAAAAGCGTAAATAAAATTATAGCTTTTTTAGTTGATGAGATATTTTTTTGGACTTAAGCCTGACTATTATTGAATACGACTTACTTACAAATGAATGAATTAACTAAATAAAAAAAATAACCACATCTCTTATTCACCACTCATTAATAACATTTTTCTTCTTCAAACTCTGATGTTAAATTCATCAAACCTGTATTGGTTCTATGCATAATAGGAATTATATGCTTAATAGTTTCATTTAGTCTAAAAATGATATTTTAAATGCAGAGATATTACTTCTTTTACAAATTCATGTAGTTATGATTATTATTGAATACGTCTTACATATAAAAGAAAAAATCATATAAATAAATAAACCGAATTGCACTGCATTTTCTCTAACATTTCGGTTAAAATTGCTGCAATTGAAAATTTATATGAAAAATGATTAAGCTGCTTGCAAAAAATCCTATGCTGTATAGTTTCATTTAGAATAAAAATTATTCCCTTCTTATTAACAAAAGTATATTTGTAATCATATTTACATACAGCAATCACAGTTAATGCTAAAAATCTGCTAGTACTTTGATTATTGATAAATTTTATTTACCCTTTTTATCAAACTTTTACCAATAGAAACAATGGAAATGCTGTATACTTTAGGAAAACGATATGTTTGAGTAAAGAGTTCTGGTATTTTTCGGTTAAATTTAGAGCACCATTGTCAAATGTAACATTCTGTACTTCCTTGACATTTTACAATAAACAAGGGAAAATTTGTACAATCATACGTTTTAGAGTAGAAAATTTTAGAGCCTCTTGGTTAATTCTTAATTTCTGTCGAAATCCAAATATTAGAGCACCATTATCAAATGTAACATTCTGTACTTCCTTGACATTTTACAACAAACAATGGAAAAGCTGCACACTTTACAAAAAAGATCAGTTTTGCAGTATGGAACTCTATTGTTCCTTGGTTAAATTTCAATTTCTGTCGAAATCTAAATATTAGATTAATTTACTGGCAAGTATATCGTTCTGTAAAATATCAGAATTTTACAACAAATGAACAAAGAATATTCAAACATTATGTACACTCTCCAAAAATTGAGTGATTTGAAATAAATCAGTGTTAAAAATTTGGTTATTTCAAGAAAACGCGTGAATCGTAAAAAAATCTTTTGTGAAATTTGAATATTTAATATGATTTATGATATTGTATCTTTTTTTATTATTTGTTTGAAAATGTTTAGAAGCTTGATTAAGAAGTCGCGTTCTGGCGAGGCGTTCCAATTCCGTGTACGTTCGTACAACTAGCGTGCATATATTAGCATTCCCCTAATAACGTCCTATTGTCTTAGTTCAGGCAGACTCAGACATAACTGTCTTAGGTATCCTAGTGCGACGAGGTACCCTCATTCCGAATTCAAATAGCCCGTATTATACATAGATATCGGCCCGGTACGTGAAGGTACATGCGATATATTTTATTAGCATACGTCTATTATATCGGATAAAATATTTAAGAAATGCAAAACCGAACGCCAATACTTTTTTGTGATTATCAAGTACATATCAAGATCGCTTGATATCAAATTAAATGCATGTAATAGATAGCTTTATACAGGGTGCCCCAGAACGAAGTGATTGCATTTATAAACAACTATGATGAAAGAAATTAGTTATTAATTATTAATATTAATATAAATTAGTTAATAATATTGATAAGCCATTTGCACCTCCCCCCATTCGGTCTGACGTTGACTTCTGGAACACCCTGTACAAACTTACTGCTAGAAGAAGAATCAATACTATCACCTAGCACTATCTTAGATCAATTTCTTTATATACCATTAAAGTCACTGATCAATAAAAATATTTTTCCTCTAGTATTATCTTTGTACAGGGTGTCGAAAGTGGATGATAATTACTTATCAATATAGGTGATGGTCAATACTATCACCCCGTTACGGCTTGACGTTGAATTCTGGGACACCGTACTAAATAAATAAGAAAAACATTCATAATATTTATAGTAATATTCCTCCCTGTTGACTAAATATAAATTTGATTATTTATTTGTAATAACTTTTATATCAAACTTTGTCAGTTATATAGGCTAGTTTCGTTCGTAAATTCTTCCATTGCAAAATCAATTACAAAGATCGGTAATTAAAAATTGATTAAATTACAGCTTTTTGACGGTTATTTGGATTTTGATTTTCAAAAAAATATTCATTAAAACGATCTATCTATTTATTACTTCAATGTAAATTTTAAATCATTTATCAAAGCTACTACATTATGCTAAACGAATATAGAGTTATCATGACCAACGAAGATAACACCTAGGTTCTCAATTTATAGTTTATTCTTAACTTATTCCCGGACATCGCTAATTGTTCCGGGTGTGCAGATATGTTAATATTCTCCTAAACAATTAAGACATATGCAATATGTCATCATATTAATATTCATGTGTCCTACAGCAGATGTACCAAGAAGATGATATAATGTACTTACTATTTGGGAAGTTGTAGTTGGGAACAATTGTAGTTTTGATATAAAATTGTAGAGAAAAATCTGCTTACCTATTAGTAGACCTGAAACAAATAAAAAATATTAGTATTTTCAAGAAGAATACAATTTAATTGAATAAATTTAACTAAACTATAATTATTTAGTTCAAATGCAATCACCATTTGACACAAATTTAATGATAAAAAATAAAGAATAGAGCATAGAATCAGGCATAGCCTGATGATTACATACTGTTATTGTATTGCAAAATATTCTATATCTATATAACATATAAGCAAAAATGGGGAATAATAAGTAATTAGTCATCCGAAAACGAAATTAACAGATTCGCATGAGCAGATACGTTTCTGCTAATTAAAAGGCGCCTAACAAACTTTACGTATCACTTGTATTATTTATTACGGTTCTCATAGTATATTAATTATATCATCCATACATATACAAATATGTTCATATAATGTGTATTCGTTTGTATTAATTTATATATGAATAAGCCTTGTTCTTCGTAGCGTGTAAATAGATATGTAAATGAAAACAGCTTCTAAATGCAAATGATTGACTGTTATTTTCACACGACGGCGGTATAAAATAATTATTCCATTCGCAATACATTGTGTTAACCCATTTTCAGAGAATACTGGTCACTTTTTGTAATGACTGGAACAAGTTGGTAACAATTTGCACTTAATGAATATATAGAAAAGCTAGTAGAGTTGACTAATTCATAGCAAAAAGCTTTCTCAACAATTATGTATTTAAAGCAATTAAATTAAAAGTAAAAAGTGGAGTAGCTACTATATATTCAGTTTTAAAACTATTATATGTACAAGAACGATACGAGATGTATGTGTATATCGATAAATTCTTAGCAAATTATTTACAACAATTTATAAATTTATACATGTAGCTCCAAATATTTTTTAACTGCAAAACAGATTTGTATTTGTTGATGATATATCAAAAAATCTGAACCAAATTTTGAAAGTTGTAAGCATAATGACTTTATGAACATTTTTTAAGAAATAAATTTCGGATGTACATTCTAAACTTGATACTATTGAATGGTATTTTCTGGTTACCGCTTATTGTTTCCATTAATTCTAAATTAAATTAGAAGTAAACTTCAGCCGACACATAGATTGACTGCTTACATGCTGTCTGAAAGTTTGAATCGTCTTTTCGAGTACGCTCTTGTACTAAAGGATATTCTCAATAACAAACCGTCTTTTGATCCTAACGAAACTCTATCTTTAAAACTACCCAAACAACCCTTATCTGGAGGCACCTTTTAATAAAAATCTCTATTTCAAAGCTCTAGCTCGAGCACCACTCATTGGAACTATATTTATCCCAAAACGCAACTTCTAAATTCTTCTTTCCAAACCTTGGTCATTATCTAAAAGATTCCAAAGTGGGTGCACTACATGTACGCTTGACTATGCAAATATGCGGATAAGTTGAACGATCCTGGAGAGTTCAGAAATTATACCCGTTCGAAGATCTACCACACACAAGGATATAACGTTTCTCTATCAGCGAGCTGTTGTCTATAAGAGGACCCATCCATAAAGCCACTCACACTACTCACTTAGGGCTCCCGTGTTTAGCAGTGTGTGAAACGAAGCCCCTTCAGAATATACAAGCAATCAGTGCAAATACTTCGACGATAACATACACGATCCCGAGATCAAAGATGTGCCAGATGATGGGAGACTGATGGACCTGTTATTTCGATTATTATACGATACGATAGATAATTGATAATTATAATAATGGACAAATATTTAAGATCAAAGCGTTTCTGATGATTGTTGACAAATATTTAATTGGTATAAATATTGACTAACCAATAGAAGTAATGCCTAGATTTCCGTCTGCTTTCAAAATGTTCAAGACACTAATTTATGGTAAAGTCCAAAAAGTCTTAACGAATTATTGATTGGTATTTAAAATACCATTATATATTCTCTTAATCATAAATTGATATTGCGATTTAAAATTCAGAATTTTGAAAACAATTTCAAATTGATACATTCCTATAAATCACAAAAATGGTTATTGTGGCATGTTGGCCAAGTTCATAAAATAAAACTTTATTGTTCTGATAGAGAGAGAGATTCAAAATTGAAATGTGTCAACCTTCATCCATTAACTTTGAAATTTATCACTCTATAATCATTATGCATACTATACTATCCTTTACTAGTTCAACTATTTCCAACCTCCATTTAGGACTTCCCTATTTGACCAAAAATGGAGATCTTTCGTTTGCTTTTCGCAATGTTCCGGAATTCTTGTGTGTTTGTCTTGAGCATTATTTTAAGTTTAAGTGGAGGATGCGTTTTAGAAGTTCTAGTGTATATGTAAGACAGGAACAAGTTTGAATTCTCTTACGTCCTCTTAATTGTAAGTTTCAGTTCGTAAACTATTTGCGAAGTTATCAACTTCATGATGTATGTACCTAGCTATGGCTTTAATATTCAATTAAAATGATAATTAAGATCGAGAGTAAAGTTCTTTTGTTAGGGAATAATATCAATTAAAATATTAATAAAACCATATTTTTAAAGTTTTGTTTTACTCTACTCGACATTTACTTAAATCTAATATTAACAAAGAATTTCATATTGATGTAATTTATCAATATCACTAGTAAATTTCTTGTTAAGATAAAACTTATTATACTTCAGCACAGCACTTATGTGTATCCCTTTATATAACATTTTAACAAAAAAATTGATTTTTTATTCAAGCTATCTTGAAATTTACGATGCATTGAAATTTACTACTATCTAATGGAACAAGTGAACTCGAAAGGGTTTTGTCGTACAATTTTTACCAGAGAGGCGGTATTTCGATTATCTAATCCTCGATAATCTAGTACCTAAAAGGAATAAAGTCACAGCTCGGGCAAAACAAACAGCAAGATATGTTTCGCCATTAGTCGACCGACCAACAAGAGATTAGTTCTTACGTTAGTGCCAGGATGTATGGTAAGACGGAAGTTTGCGAACGTTAGCGCCGAGAGAGAGACTCGTTCTCGGGCAAGTACAAGTCAACAATTCTTTGGAACTAAGCACTCTTCTGAGATAATTGCACAGAAGCCAACAGAGACATGCTCACATAAACATAAACACAAACACACACCCATATCTAGGTATATACCAAATGCTATTTCCCCATTATAACCATATAATATGATTTGAAAACAATCATGGAATGTCTATAATTATCTAGTGAGGATGCTATAAAATATGTGATTCGATTAATCCAGTTTATTACAAAAACGACCAAAAAATTCCTTTATCGTTGTTCAAAGTTACTTAATTCATCCAGAAAACCACTTGGAGAAGTACTTACAGTTTAGTGTACAATTACACATTCGGTATGCCTTGCACCTACCTGGATCACAAGGACCTGCTCGTCCTTTTAGCTCCTGATGTCGCGAGCTCCTGTGGGCGATATATCTACTAACACATTACGGAATTTCTCTGTCTAAAGTTTCAACCGCAACCCGGGACGGGAACACTATTACAGTTCGGCGAACAAACAACCAACATAAGGCAAGAGATAGGAAGAGGGAAGAAATATTGTTTTTATCGGCGAATATTGAAAACTGGTCGCTTATGGCTAGGTGTATCTGGACAAATTGCAGGAACTTGAAAAATTGTGTTCACTGTTAATTTAAAAAAAAAATCAATCCGAAGATTTTTAACTATGCTGACAATAGTGAAAATTTTTCCTCAAAATAATATCTCTCGAATAAAATACAAATCATTTATAAATTGACATAAAAAGGGACTAATTCAGTCATCAATTTGTCAGAACTTACATGAAAAGAACAATCCAAAGCATGGTATAATATCAGTGGTACCCAGGATATTTACATAATTGGATACAGGAATCAAAATTCTTCGTCAGCTTCTCATTTATTTTTGGTATGATCGTTTGCATACAGTAAAATTAGTATGTATATGGTTTAACCATTTATGTATATTTAACCATGTATGTTTTTTGTAGCAATTGTTAAATTTTTGTCCATAACATTGAAACATAGTCCATAGCCATTAGTCTTTCTTTTTTAGAAAATCAATTAACTATGCTGCACTGATACTGACTCGCCTCCGAAAATTAAAGAAAATGTTTAATTCCTATATACATCCTTCTATCAAGTAGAAAAAAAAGTGTAAGCTTAGATATTATTAGATTATTTTTTAGTTTTTTTTGTTTCAAACGTGTGAGCATAAAATTTTATTACCAGTGGATCTCTAATTTTGAAAACTAGAGAAAAGAAAAAAGAAAAAAATATATACTTGATAATAGAAAAAAAATAAATGAATATAAGAAGAAATCAAATTTTATATTCAATATTAAAAATGTGTTAATACAATATTACTAAATAATATTTTTTGTGGTGTGCTGCTCCACAATTCCGTTTCTCCTTTGCCCAAATGTAACCTGCGCCCCATGTAACCTCGTTACCATCAGGGATCATTTACTTCCGCAGCAAACTAATAAGTTTTTAATTGAACCAGCAATTGCAAGTGTTTTTGTGTGCTTGTTCAAATTACAATGAAATCGGCATCAAACGTTTTAGCTCGATTATTTGCCGTATCTCGATTACTATTTATTCGAATGGACGTAACAAAGCAAAAGCTTTTTGGACCGAGTCCTACTAATGACCAGACCGTAGTGCATATATGCTATCGGTCTGTTAATTGAAAATTTGCAAAATAGATCATTAACAATAGCGAAGCACTTAATTTCGGTCGACGAAATTCGATTATCTTCACTCGGTATTAAATCGAAACCAAATAATTTCAATTTAATACCGAGAGGATTAATTTCAGAAATAGTAGATACTAGAAATTATGGCTGTACTTGAATATTGCAATTAAATAGTTAATATCTCATTTAACATTGCTATACCATTTATCATTTTGTAAAAAAAGGTGACAGATGCAAAGGATGTATATTTGGAAGTCTTACAAAAACTTTACTTTCCGTATGTTCCAGATTTAATATTTGCCTTCAACAAGCAATTAAATTGGTTACTATTATA